CAATAGTTAAAGTGTAACAAAAGAAAATAGATTAATATACTGCAGCTTACCGCTTCATAATGTGATGGCTGTATTAGTTTCCCTTTTTTTAGACTAAGAACATTTTCTGCAAGTACAGAAATATATCTGTTGATCCTGCCAGACATCCAGTGCCCTTATAACCTCCCGCGCACTGAACTGAAACATCAAGCAATGCTTGATGTTGTGGTTGTAGTCTGAATCAGGAGAGCAGCCTAGGCGACAACACTGCTACTCTATACAGTATACTCAGTGAGCGTTGTCACCTTAAGACAGAAAATGTGTTACTGGTAGTGTCCCAATTTCAAAGCCTTATATGCAATTTATTGGCCATAAAAGGTGTATGGGGATCCGGGAAACTGTCCTGGGGGACATGTATGGGGGTCCTGGTACTGCCATGGGGGTCATGTATGGGGTTCCGGGTACTGCCCTGGTGGACATGTATGGGGGTCCGGGTACTGCCCTGGTGGACATGTATGGGGATCCGGGTATTGCTCTGGGGGACATGTGTGGGGGTCTGGGTACTGCCCTGGGGGACATGTATCAATGCAAAAAAACACTTTTAAAAATACTGTTTTTAAAGGAGCAGTGATTTTAACATCACTTTAAGTGAAACAATAAAACTGAAAAGTTTTAAATATGGTGCCTGGGGGGTCCCCTTAACCTGCCTGTAAAGTGGCGGATCTGTACAATGTAAAGAACCTGCTGCAGCAAAAATTACATTTTTAAAGAAAAAAAAAAGCATGCGTTTCCCCCTCCCAAACAATACAAGACCCTTTAGGTCTAGTAGGAAAGTTAAGAGGGACGCCATTTAAAAAAACAAAGAAAAAAAAGTGTGTGGGGTTCCCACCAAAAGTCATACCAGACCCATTAGGGCTGGTAGGAATTTTAAGGAGGAACCCACTCCCAAAAATGGGAGGGAAAAAGACATGGGGTCACCCCTAAAATTCCCAAACAGACCCTTGATCCAAACACTGGCCTGGCAGGGCAGGAAAGGGGGGGGGTGAGTGAGTAACCTCCCCCCCTCCCTGCAATACAAGGCCACTGGAAGGGCGCTTTTCCAGGGTCGCCGCTGGGAAAGCGCCTTGTCACTGTGCCGATGGGGACAAGGGTGTCTTCCCCACAAGCCCTGGGGCGTTGGTTGTGGGGGTGAAGGCAGGGGGGGGGGCTTATTAACATCAGGGTACCACTTTAATAAAAGGGCACCCAGATGTGCCCCCCCACCCTTGTGAATGAGTAAGGAGTACTTGTACCCCTCCCCATTCACTAAAGGGTAAACTGTTGGTTGACTGGAATATCGGGACCATCCCTAGTTACTGGGAGGATCACCAGGTGAAAATAAAACAAATGCAGCCGCCACCTCCAAGCACTGGGAAGCTGCAATATATTACATTGTGTGTTCCTTAGTTTAGATACACTTTAGATTTTGTGGGGTGAGAGTTTTATATTGCAGGTTGATGTCTGTAATATTCTCAGTCCCCCCCTCACACACACAGGTCTCTTCCCTGACGTTGGTTGAGCTCCTTGTCCCCTCTTCCTCCAGCGAAGCTTCTTATCTCACGGTGAGAGAGTGATGGTGATGTGATCGAGGAGTGAATCAATTACTATTATTCATCTTTGACAAAGTAATTAAGACTTCGCTGGCTTGTTAATTCAGTGTGAATAGCTGAGCCGGTGATGGATGCAGATTTACAGCCAGTCATTGTGAAGGAGATTATCACAGTGAAGAGTCAGGTGATGGAAGCAGCGGCCTCCCCCCCGGGGACCTGATCACTGCCTAAATATTATGGTGTACAAGCGCCCTGGGAGAGGGAAATGGACTCTGTACATTTGTCGGCTCTGCGGGGTGTCCTTCTCGCCCGTACAGGGCAAGGGCTCCTTGTCGTCCGACAGCTTGTATCCCACATGTGCACCGGCTCCCTTCCATAACAGAACAATGAGCTTCACCCGAAGGGATGTTGTTACCTTTTATCCTCCATTGTTTCATCATTTGGTGCTTATTTTACTACTTACAGGGAAGGTCACATTTTTTTTTTCATCAGTTTTATTTCACTGTATTTAAAACCGTACACCGCGGGTGAGCGAAATTGAGAGTTTTCATTTACCCAAATTTTTAAGAAAAGAAGATGGTTTTCAAATTGTAACAAAATTCAGGTATTAGATACGGGCTCTGGGGTCCATTTCCTTACTAAACTCTCAAACTTTGTTTCTATAAGGAATCCAGATGAAACAAATATACATCGCACCGCAAAGTATTTCTTTATATGTTTCCCACGCATTCACAGTCATCATGTTTCCAAACAGCTCCAAATCTCTCAGCTCGGCTTCCCTGAACTTCCTGTCCAGTACAAGATCACAAAGGACAGAGCCGTCCCCAGCAACTGTTCATCTACCAGCTTAGAGAATGAGAACGTGTCCTGACTTGCTTGCTGTGTCTGTGTGTTTATGGTGAAACACACAGCTAACTACCCTGTTTCCCCGAAAGTACGACCTACCCCAAAAATAAGACCAAGTACTATTTTTGGGAATTGCTAAAATATAAGACCTACCCCGAAAATAAGACCTAGTTGTGACCATTCCCAGGGCCAGTGGTGGCATAAGGGGGGAACTTGAAGAGCCGCGGGAGAGGCATGAGAGAATCAGAGGTGCCAAGGAAGCCGGCGCTAGAGGAAGCGAGGCGGCAGCGCAGGGAGCAGAGCCGCATAAGCCGATGCTTCCTCTATAGCGCTGGCTCCTGTCACAGGCGGAGTGATACCACATGCACTCCGCCTGTGAGGAATCGATAGTGAAAGTGCGCTTCGCTCATTCTGGCCAGCGATTGGTTACCAAATTGTTCTTGGAAAGGTACGGCCCCCCTGATTGTCCTGATCACCATATTTGTGTATATGAATACATGTAGACTGTTGTACATGAATAAGTGTGGCTTGTTGTACATAAACATTTTTTGTAAATAAGGCCTACCCCGAAAATAAGACCCAGTGTGTTTTTGTGAGCCAAACAAAATATAAGACAGTGTCTTATTTTCGGGGAAACACGGTAGCACACACAAGGGTGGCTCCATAGGACACTGCAAGGGAAAGGAACCACCCCAAAACACAATAACAGGACCAATGTTCAGTGCACCAGCTGATCCTGCAGGAAACTAAAACTTTTAAACATCAAGGAGCTGCATCCATTGTAAGTGATATTGGGTGGAGACTGAATGTAGGGAGGAGGCTTCCCCGGCACCTCGTGTCCCAAAGACTCTGGAGTTGGGAACAGAGTCTGAGTGGACAGCGAGTGGCACAGGTGCCAGTGGTGATCACAGCGTGCAAGATGGAGTTCCGGCACCGGATCGGGTCACGCTGAGGTGTAGTCAAAACCAGGCAGGCAGCGGAGTGCAGAGCAGGATCCAAGATCAAACAAGCCAGGGATCAATCCAGTCGGGCAGCGAGGTACAAAGGCAGGAGACAGAGGCAGGTCCAGTGAGCAAGCAGGAGGTCAGGGGCCTGGCAGCAATCAACAAGGTCAAGGACAATCCGGGCCAAAGTCAGCAAGGTAATCAGAAGCACAAGGAACGCAGGGGAAGCTGAAGACAATCCAGCAACTTGGAGTCAGGTAGACTGGCTTTAAATAGGCCGATCCATCAGGAAGCAGCATCACTTCCTGTGCGCCATTTGGTGCGCTTTTGTGTGGCTGTTCCGTGGTCACACGCATGCGCGCAAGTGCCCGTTCACCGCCAGTACGGAAAACTGGACCCCGTGTATGCGCAGTAGCAGGTGGTTTCTGACAGATATAATCAGCATTTGAAATAGCTTAGTCAGCATAAAAGACAAGCCAACACGTTCCAGTGGCTTCATTGGGACATTTTGTGCTGGACGATCTTGGTCTGAAAGGTACTAGACTTGAATGAGTCGAAAATCCTCAAAAGTAATAGAAGCGATGAAATATATTGGTTTGTCTTTTATGGTGACACTATATTTATATGTATATTTGAAGGATACGCAAGAAATTATTTGCACTTTCATGCTTGGAGTGGTATTTCCTACTTTATAAACACTTGGAGCTTGTTCATAGGCTTTATTTGTGCCTGTGCACGGCCTACCCAAAGTGACTGCACTCAACTCAAACATCCATTCAGCTACGAACAGGGCACTCCCCACCCCCGCAGCTGCACGTATACACAGGGGTGGGATGCTGGTGACATCATTGACCTTATATGTGCTCAAGGACATTGCACTAATATGAGCATATGGTCAGTGACATTGAGCTAATATGGCCATGTGGTAATGATGTTGACCTAAGTTGGTCATGTGATCTATGACATTGACCTAATATGGCCATGTGGTCAGTGACATTGAGCTAATATGGCCATGTGGTCAATGACATTGAGCTAATAAGGCCATTTGGTCAATGACATTGAGCTAATATGGCCATGTGATCAATGACATTGAGCTAATAAGGCCATGTGATCAATGACATTGAGCTAATATGGCCATGTGATCAATGACATTGAGCTAATATGGCCATGTGGTCAATGACATTGAGCTAATAAGGCCATTTGGTCTATGACATTGAGCTAATATGGCCATGTGGTCAATGATGTTGAGTTAATATGGCCATGTGGTCAATGATGTTGACCTAATATGGCCATGTGGTCAATGATGTTGACCTAATATGGCCATGTGGTCAGTGACATTGAGCTAATATGGCCATGTGGTCAATGACATTGAGCTAATAAGGCCATTTGGTCAGTGACATTGAGCTAATATGGCCATGTGGTTAATGACATTGAGCTAATATGGCCATGTGGTCAATGATGTTGACCTAATATGGCCATGTGGTCAATGACATTGAGTTAATATGGCCATGTGGTTAATGACATTGAGCTAATATGGCCATGTGGTTAATGACATTGAGCTAATATGGCCATGTGGTTAATGACATTGAGCTAATATGGCCATGTGGTCAATGATGTTGACCTAATATGGCCATGTGGTCAATGACATTGAATTTATATGGCCATGTGGTCAATGATGTTGACCTAATATGGCCATGTGGTCAATTACATTGAGCTAATATGGCCATGTGGTACATGATGTTGACTTAATATGGCCATGTGGTACATGACGTTGACTTAATATGGCCATGTGGTCAATGGCATTGAGCTAATATGGCCATGTGGTCAATGACATTAACCTAATATGGTCATGTGGTACATGACATTAACCTAATATGGCCATGTGGCAATATAAAATCAATGATGCCACCAGAATCCTGCCTCTTTGTTTAAGTGTGGCTGCAGGGCTTTACATTTTAAATCATACATCTATTTAAACCTGAATGCCAGACTTCCATTCAGTCTTGCACAGTTGTACCGGCTCCTCCCCTGGACTGAAGTGACCCCCCTGACTGTCCCTGGCTCTGCCACTTTGGGGGATTTCAGTTCTTTCAGTCATGAGTACTCAGCATCCTCATTTAATTCTCGTTCTGAATGAGCAGTTCAAGGAACAAGGTTAAAGGTTTTACATCATGAAGAATGACACAGGAGGGGCAGGGAAACACCCCAAAGTGGGCAGTAACAGAGCCAGGATGTATGGCAGGGATCTCTGCTACAATACCCGAGTTATAGCCAGCTTGCAGGCTACTAAGATTTCCAGACAACACTTATAATAGAAATATCAGTTTGGTTGAATTCAGCGTTTAATATAGTCCTGGAAGTTGTTCGTTGCCCTATCCTATTACCCGGATGTTTTACAATTTGGTGTTCTGCTCCTTTAAGTATTGGATTATAATAAACAGGATTTATTTTCCATAGGGCTCTGGCTGAAATTCACTTTCTATGAAGAAGACTCCCCCCGTGCCCCCTCCACACTGCAAGATGAATATCACTAAAAACACCATCTCATTATCATCATCGGTGTGATCATTATTATTATTATTGGTTGTCCTCCTGTGTTCCGGAGATAATGCCTGGACTCTTGTCTCTGGGGGTCATTCATTTTACACTCTGTCACTTCATTATGTGTAGTAAATGATGATTCACTAAATAGTCTCATTATCCCACCACATGCCCCGCATGCAGAGCCCTCGATAAACCCCAATGAGATGCTGTTGTGTTGCTGCCGCTTCAAAACAGAGCCAAAAACAAAATGCAGAAAAGAGAGTTATTTGCTGGTATCCTTGTTCTGTATACTACAAAGTAATATCCTGGAACGCTGAACCCATCAAACACAGGCTCTGCCCTCAGAGGGATTCTGCAAGTGTGAAGGTAACTGATTACTAATGTTAAAACCGGTAAAAATGGCGAGCGCACAACAGTTATGGAATGTGGTAAGAGGAATAGATCTGTTTAAAATCAATTTAAATGTTAAACAATTCTGGAACAATTTTGAAACAATGTTAAAACAAAAGTTAGAACAAAATTTAAAAAATGGGGTGAGCCAGCTTCTTGTTCAGGGGGAGGAACCCTGTAGACATATGTAAAAAGGAGGGTGGAAAGAAGCGCTGCAACCCTGGGATATTTTGGGGATAGTATAAATAACAACTTTAAAATCATTACTGGACTGAAAACTCACTGTTGTTTGGACGGACAAGATGAGGTCTTGCAGATCAAGAGTATCTTGACCACTTCTGGCTTGACAAACTTCTGGCTTGACAAAGAGGTCCTGAACCTCGAAACGCGTAGCCAAACTGCTCGACTGACATTCCCATCACCCAGCAAGATAGACCGCACTGTTTTCCAGTCCTATGCC